ATGATTTTTATAAAAGGATCGAACTGGCCCTCCCCGGATCGTCTACTCGAAAATTTGGTTCATGGATTTCATTCCAGTTGTTGGATTACAGACAAATCAATTTTTATTTCTCACGTGCTTGAATTTGTCGGCATATAAATTAATCACAATAACCTAGCCCACGTGGCCCTTGAATTTGACAAATATAATTTAACACGTTTATAATATATCAGAAGAAGTAATAATTTAGAAGGTACTGCTACTGTCTTCATGCTATCATGGTGTTTTCTAATTTCAGACAAGTGAATTAAAGACTGAAAATGATGATCGTGTTATATGGTTTTGTTTATCGTAATTATATTAACTTTCTGCAATTTCATTTCCATTATCAGGTGTTTGTCTCTCTCTCTCTCTCTCTCTCTCTATATATATATATATATATATATGTATATACGAATGATAGGGAAAAAGGGCGATTGATTAAGAAACATAGCCGGCTACACACACCGGAAAGGAATTATTGGGTAACCATGGAACCTATGTATACATACATATATATATATATATATATATGGTGATTACAAGGTAATATTCAGTGAATTTATTGAAGATAAAAGTCGAAATTGATAATCTGATATGAAAGGAAACCAAGATATGCATTAACATATATATATGATATTTACAGCACCGACCTTTTCTTCTTGTGGGAATTTGAGGAGCTAATTAGGAAGCTGTTAATACAAAGTTGTAAAAGATTTACAAAAAATTACTGTTGTAATTTGAAATGGAATCTTATGTTGTATGAGGTTGAATTTTATTATTTTAAATAAGAAGTTTTTACATTTGTTATAAATATAATTTTAAAATTGAAACATATTATTTTAAATTTACAGTTGATCGCATAAATGAAATTCAGAAAGAGTTTAAATTTGTTCCAAGTGTAGTTGGATTAATATAATAAACTTTATCATATATTATTTTTAAGTGTTCAACTTCACTCTCCATTACATTATTTTTTAGTTTATACTTTTTAGAATAATTCTCGGATGACGACATACATCAGTGTAACTTTACAAAATCTAATGTCACTTTGGAGTACCACGTCAAACCCAATTCAAATAAGCCTGGACCCCACACTCCACCCCACCACGTGATGATTTTTCCTAATTTTGTCTTCCTTTTAATTTTATTTTTAATTACCTACCTCTTTTACCTGCAACTTTAAACCTAACGTCCGCCATTAATGACCCTCTTAACATAAAAAAAAAAATAATAATAATAATAATAATTCAGTCGAAATTGACAAGCTTATCATAACATGCAAATACGTGGTGAAATCAAGATTGTCCGCAAGAAATGTGAAATCAATTTTCTAGTAGAGACTCATCTCTTGTTATTTTTAAATTTACATTTATCTCATGACAGTATACTTATATATTATCCGTATGTATTTATATTACTGTTACATGACAATGTTGGGTTTACAAGGGTCCCTTATATCTATATATATACTTATACGTATACGTAATTAAAATCCCACATTAGAGCTTAGAGCTTTGTCTAATTTCGGTTTTGGGCTTGAGCTAGTCCAAGCTTAGGCCTAAAACCCAAACCAAAAGCCCAATATATTTCTGGTAAGTCCAACCGTCAGCCTCTTTTTCCTTCCTCTTTATCAGCCCCAAAACTGTTTCCTTTCTCAAAACGCCAACGTTTTTTTGAATTTCAAATAAATATCATTAGCATGAACTTGCACTATAAATAAGATTTTTGAATTCTACATGCGAATCTTACTACTAGTTAACTAGTGTTACATGGTGACTTATTCATTTCTACATTATATCCTTCTCCAACTGAGAATCTCTAAGATTACAACAGCGCAAAAAATTAGTTTAGCATTTTAGTCATGTTTTTAATAGAATCGTCGACGACGACTTTTAAAAGAATAAAAAAAAAAATTAAAAATTTACCTTCTTTTTTGTGTGTGTGATAATATATATATTAGAAAAATTAAATTTAAAAGTTGCTCTAATAAAAAAATAAGGAATTTATTTGTATGTGTATGCATATACATAATTATTGTTCCCCCGAGAATGGACAAGTACTCGGAGATAAGTTAAAAAAAAAATTTGTTATACGGAATTACTTTAAGATAAATTATCCAATGCTCATAATAGCATTACAAAGTACTTGAATCACGCTTTAATATTCTTATTGCTTATTTATTTGTTTTTCTATTTTTTGATGATTCTGGAAGGAAGAAAGTTTCTAACAACTTTAACCATGAAACAATAACATCACATCTAAAGAATATTAAGCAAGAGAAAAAAAAAAAAAAAAAAAAAAAGAGAAAAAACTCAATAACATAACTAAGAATTAATATAAGAGGATGAAAGTATCTAAAAGAGGAATTACAAAAAAAAACAATGAAAATTTACTTGAAATGACAGATTTCAAAAAAAAAAAAATCAGTTTCAGAAACTTATTAGTAGCTAACAAAAGAAGAATTTTTGTGGATTTATACACTTTGTTATGAGTTTGCTACTTTTCTCGTTGGGGGATCACAAGAAGGATTGTTGGTAGATAACAAAGAAAGAGGACAAAATTATGAAAGATCAAAAGACTCATATTTAAACATGTTGATGATGTGGTGTTCACATTAGATTTTCTAAAGCTCACTTACGTTGATGACTGACTACATTAGTGCCGCACGAGCACAACGTGGTGCACCAAACAAACTGTTAAGAGTCAATAGACTTGGAAAATTTTTGACTCAAACTTAAAAATATGAATTAAAAGAAACAAAAGTTTAAATTCGATCATACCTTTAGTCGTTCTAAACATGGTTTGTTAGTTTAATGAAGATTATATTTCTCAAATCATGTTTCTTTGGTTCATAGTGTACTTCTATTTATATAAACACATAATACTTTGTATTGAAAATAGTTGTACAGAAAAATAATATATAGAGGAAAGAAGTTAATATATATTCATATGTATTCGTTATTCATAATTTATTTTTACTACGGTAAAATATCATTTTTGAAATTTAAGCTGCATGTGTTAACACAAACTTGTAGGGCATAACTCGATTTGAACTAAATTGAAATATATTAAATTAAAATTCTTTAGTTCTCAACTTTAGACTAAAGACAAAAAGGATTTATTTTATTATAAAACAGGCAAATAATTATTCATTCGATGGATAAAATCATAATTTAAAATTAGAGACAGGAACTATATTGCTATTTTGAGTCTCTCTAACTTGAAATAAATAATTAGATGAAATATAATTTCATTTAATATGTATATATATATATATATATATATTTATAGAAACTAGATTATAAATGATGGTCTAAATGTAGATTTTAAAACAACATATATAGATACATTCCAAAAGAAAAAAAACCTAATAGTAGGTTCCAACTTATCTTGTCGGAAGAATGTATCCAAGACAAAAAAGATAAAGGCAATGTCGAGAATTAGTTAGTCTACCTAAATCAAGATTATCAAAAAGTAAATCATGCTTAATCTGGAAGTCAAAAAGTCAACATGCATGTGTGTCGTCAAATGATAGAAACTACGTACCACCATCTCAAATCAATTAATTCTAGTAATATATATATATATATGTTTATTATCCTCGTAAGAATTGATAATACTTTAATGATGATATGTTTTTATTTAATTAGATAATCTTAGCTAAGGGCAGAATTAGCAATTAGAGATAATTCTTAAATTGATATTGATAATTTAATATTTGGAAGGAACCCAAAATAGTGGATTCTTAATTTACTTATATGTAATTATTTTAAATATATAAAATGTTAAAATATGTTAAGAAAATTTTATACTAATATTATAAAAAATTAAGAAATAATTGTTTTTGAAGTCAATTGTGTAAAATATTAGACCTTATAATTGAATAAATCTAAATACCTAATTGTGTATAATTTTAATTAGATTTAATTACAAAATTAAATGGTATAATTTGACATTAATTTTGAAAATTCAGTCAAGATTTATGATAAATTAGTAATAAAATTTCAAATCCAGTTGGTACGATAATATTGTTAAAAGAATGATAAAGTTAAACCCTTTTTCTTTTTATGTCCAAAAGCAATTATGCATGGGCTACTGATTACCTTCTAGAAACATACAATGCTTACGTAATTGCTATTTCATGCAGATGTAATGATTATCCCACGCTTACGTCTTCCTCACATCATTCAGAAGTATGCTTCACCTAGATATATATATATATATATAAAACCTAGACATATACATACATATATATATTCGTCCTTGTATCCAACGCTTCGCACCCGTTGGACTATTTCCAATTCTCAATTACCGTGATCTCCTTCTAGATACACACACACATATTAATCAGGTATTAATTTTCTCTTGGAATGTAATAGTCTAATCTTTTATATATATATATATATATGTACATTAAATATTTCTCATACACTCACTTTACATACAGATTATAATTTTAAAAATTAATTGTATAATATATAAATTATAATGAATTAAGAATTAATTTCTATTTTTATATTTAAAAATTATGAAATGTATGATTTATAGTTAAAAATTAAATTATTTATGTTACAAATAATAATAATTATTATATATATATTAAAGTTTTATCTTTATATAATATATAAATGTGTAATTATAACTACAACGTTAATTTTATTTTATATTTTTTTAAAAAATATTCATATAGTTTTGTTGGTCAAGGGAAAATTATTGTGATTTGTATATTATCCTTGTAATGTGATACTTTGTTTTATTTAAAGGAAATAAATAAAACTGTAATGGCTGAACATTTTAAGTAGTTGATAACATTCTAATAGTTGTCACATTTAAACATCGAGCAAATTATTTACTTGCAGGTTTCTTTTTCATTCTTATATCCCAGCTAGTTTAGAACTAAAGTAGTTTAATAAAACATTTTACTTTAATCACTATAGTTGATTAACATATAAAACATAATTTCATTTAAACCGACGTAATAAAAAAACCATATCAGAAAATTTAGTATTAATAACCAATTTTGCTACTCACATACTTCACCAAGAATATGAGGACAGAGACAGCTGACCTCACCGTCAACTGTTTTATCCCGGTCACGGCCAAAATTCTTCTTGGAAAGTTGAGTTGTACCAGTGAAACGTTTTCCAGCAAATCACTTCTGCGATCACTAGCTAACAAGAATCACTGTACCCAGCTTTTCTCTTAACATTACTAAAGCATCTAAGATGATTTATTATAACATTATTCATTCTCCACAACCATGTAGACCGTCTTCCATTTTCTGGGTTCTAACACCAAATCTCCATTCAATTTTCAGAGCCTCGCAGTGCGGAGTTGCTGCTTCAATACAGGCCGAATATATTCGTGATAGCCTTCAGGGACAACCGAATCATTTAGAGGATCCTTCCAAGCTTCCTCAAAGAGATTTGGATATACATTTCCATCATAGCGGCCAAGAGTTGAAGAAAGGAAGTGATCAGTATAATTAAATGCATCAACAAGTGCAATTGCATTTGGCCGAACCTGATAGTACACGTTAAAACACTAGTGATCAAATGATACCTGGCCCCAGAATAAGGATCAGGCTAAAGAACAAAATTTGAAAACAAACCTGGGAATACAAGGATCTAAGCTGCTCATTTGCTAGTGCACCTTGCTTCGGAGTAATGGAGCTAGTCGAGAGAAAATCGCCAAGATGTTTATGAAGTAGATTTAGTGCATATATGTAGCAAAGGTTCTCTAGCTGTCGTTTAACCCCCTTCCCTGGAATGTCTTGCTGCACCTTCTCAATAAACCTGCAACAATGTTTTTTAGAATCCAGACAAATCCACACAGAATTTATGCCAAGTTCTCATCCGTAACCAATTACGTTATTCTTTTTTCTAGCAAATCCAACTTGTTAATAGTTCCAATAATTTGGCTCCCCCGATCGTCACATTAACTCCTGTTCTCTGGAACAGTCACCCCTCTGCCCCACTTTGTATGCATTAAATATCTAACATGGCTTTCTATGCTCATATGTATTGTGATACAGTAAACTTTGTAAAACTAGTCCAGAAGCAGCTTATGGGCCCAAGGGGCTCAAACCTCAACTTTCAGAAGGACTTGATGCTTAGCATCAAAATTTCAGACTTTGAATAACTTGTGAGATAGGCAAATCATGAAACAGCCCCTCAAATTGTTAAGTTTGAGGCTCTAAAAATGTGATTAGGCAGAGAAGAAGCTTACTTGGAAACAACAATTAATTGGCAATGAGCAACTGCTGCCTCAACCAAGTCAGCTAAGAGTTCTGAGAAACCTGAAGAAAGAGAACCGTAAGGACAAAGACATAAATGACATAGACTCTCAAACAGGAAAAAGGCAAATGGAAAAAACCACAAAAAATTCAGCATGATAACAAAGGCAGATTATGATTTTAGTTCATCCAAACATTAACAGTGTGTTAAAATGTAAAAGGCAAGAAATGAATGGTTTATATAAAAAATTTTGTGCAAAAATAAAATGAAAACGAATATCTAAGAACTTGCCTATCATGTAAATATAACTGTGACAGGTTATAGAATAAAAGAGAAGCACAGAAAAAGCATCTCCTAATTGGGGCAGAGACAACATACCCTCTTCTGGATTTTCAAATTTGCTAAGATTTTTCGCACATGTAACAGACATCCTAGTGGCCCTTGCTTCGAATGCCTCCAGTACTACATTTGGCTTCAACCAATCTCCAGCTGCAAGACATTGTTGGAAACATAAATCACAAAGAGATAAACAGTTGACATGGCTCTTTCCGAGCTAGGTGAAAGTGAAGATTCACAAAAACTCCTGGTAAGGTGGAGGAGATTCACTTTTCTTTTTCAAGTGATCATTAATCAGCATTCCATCCCAGCCCAGTTGTGCAGGCAGGATGGGACAAACACCCTCCCCCCCAGGTGGTATGGTACTATCCTTCTGGCCTACAACATTCTTTTATCATTGATGTACCATTATAGTTTTTTCTTTGAGCTTAAATTTTTTTTTTTTTGACAAATTACCATTATAATTTTGAATTTTCTCCAACTATATAGAGAAAAAATGCTAGATGTAACTCAAAACTGAATTTTTCAGTAGTGAGAAAAACATTGGTGGCTTTCTGGATATTATCATATTGGTGATTAGCCATGTTGTATTCTGTGGTTCTCTTTCTTTTTGTTTTTACTTTAATCTGTGTGAGCTATGTGAATATTGTCACATAAAGACCTTGTGGACTGCAAACTTATTTTAAAGAGAACATTGATTTATCGTCAAAGATGCAGGAGAAAAAAACGTTAAAGACCAAAATATTACCACTTTGAACATTACAACGACACTGCAGAAGATGTTCTGCACGTCCCATATAAGCTGTCGTTCCAACAGGCTTCTTTCCAGATGCCAGTTGAGAAACAGTCTTCACAAGAAACCTTGCAACCTACAGAAAATTATTCAATGGACAGTCAATGTTATGTTAACAATTAAATGAAGCACCAGCATAGGCTGTTAGGGAGTGGATAATTCAAAGTCAAGCCTGGAAAGCAAGAAGACCCATTAATTCACACCAGCATCATGCAACAGATAAATGGCATTAACATGCAATCCCAACTAATTCTTTTCAAGTTTAACCTCAGAACATATACGGTAAAATAGCAAAGAAGATCAGAAGCCATTCTAGGAAAAGTGGTGTGTGCACAACACCTTTAATCATGAAAGGAAACAAATCTAGCTAACTGAAACTGAAGGCTATATTAGGAATTTGGAATCTCTCAAATCTAGAATGATTCATTCGTTGGGCCAGTTAAAAATATCAAAAGTGCAAGCCATCATTAGTGATGTGATCCTGGATGGCTCAAATTTAATCCCAATGATGCAAACCCACATCAAGGAGGTATCCCGCGATAATCAAGACTTCTGCAGGATAATTACCCGTGAGTCTGCAGCCGTATGAGGAGAAAGGCATACAGCATGCACGAGCAAGTGCAAAGAGGACGTGCGCACATGCAGACACATAGCACACTTGGGAAAAGGTAAATTCCTTCTGCAAGGGTTCCTGCAGAGCCAGTCCCAAACAGGCAAGCAAGTCCAGAGTCCTTTTGTTCCTTAAACGGGATCTGCTCAAACGGAAAAGTAAATTCCAGTTTCTTAAACTGGAGCATCCGGAAGAGTAAAGTAACTCCACCCCTGACTACTTTTTTAAATGGGATTATTCCAAAGAAAGGGCCGAGTTTATCCAAAAGAAACTGAAGTCAAGTGAGATTAATGGGTTTGAAGAATTGCAAAGAAATCCAAATGCTAGCCCAGCCCTGAGAGAGGACCAAGCCTTGGTCCAAGTCAAGGAAGCACCAAGGGGAAGAAACCCGAGCCAAGCCGTGGGCCCATTGGGTGCACAAATGAAGGTCCATATGTGCGTGGTAGGCAACCCGCGACCCAGCCATCCTGCCGTGCACACAGCAAGCATGTGCAGCCCGTGCATATGTGCAGAGACACCCAGGACAAAGCCGCACGTATGAGAGGAGATGTCGCGCGCCACCAGCACGCGACCCGCGTGCCAACAGCCCTCGGTCCATGTACCCGCGCACGCACAATGTGCGACCCACACGGCCATTGCAAGCTACCCGCACGGGCAGCTCCAAATTAAATCCTTTTTGGACTTCTTCTCTTGTTTTCCGAGTCTCCAAGGATTTTAAGTCTTCCACAAAGTATTCCATGTGATTATTGTCCTAATTTGGATGAGGACTTATACCCAAATTGAAGTTCAAGGGAGATCAAGATTCTTGAAGATTGGTATTAGGAGAAAAGCTTATTTTAATATTTATCTTAATTATTTTAAATATTTAAATTAAATTTAGGATAAGATTCCTTCATTTAATTATTATATATTTGTTTTCTAATTAAATTAAGTCCTAAAATTTGGATAGAAATTCTAAATTTTATTCCTAATAGAATTAGAAAATAAAAACTTACATAAAGGCTTAAGTTCTTAAAATGTAACATACAATTCAGTTTATCAACAAAATTAAAACTTTGAGCTTTCTTCAAATTAACTTTTGCTAATTTTTAGCGTTTTCAAGTTCTTTGAAATTAAGAAATTTTCTGAAGTTTTATTGGGCCGATGAGTTAGGAACGACTTATCAAATAAGTCAGGACATCTTTTTTTTCCTCGTTTTAATTTCTTTAGTTCTTGTTTTTGCATGCCAAATAATTGGTTGTTGATTCCAGTAGAGGGATGTGTTAATTAGGCGGTTTAGTTTCTAAATTACATACGTTGAGTAAGGTTCTGGGAGTCAAAATGTTCATTTCCATAGCCTCCCGTGTCAATTAGTCAATCCTAAATTGTCATTTATGCTTGATGTGATCTTGAAGTTTTTTGAGAAAATTACCTTCTAATTTTTTTTTCCTTATTTTGTTTACATTTAGAAGATATATATATACTAGTTATCCTTATTCTATTTGAACTCTAATTATAAAATATAATTATACTATTAAAACTATAAATAATATAGTATTCTATTTAACATAAAATTCTTATCAACACTGTCCCTTATATTGGCGCAAAGATATCACACATGTGCAACTTGCAAATCAGTTTGAAGAATTTGCTAGATAGTCTTT